GGGGGCAGTCCCGCACTGCAGGGATGCATCCCCCCAGAACAGCCAGCACAGACATTTCCTTACCCTTCCCAGGTGCAGAGATGATATAGATAAAACTCCCTTCAAAACTGTTCTATCTTCTCTTGGGACTATGTGTTAAAATGAGAGCCATATTCTTCTTTTCTTTCATTTATTCCTTTCAGCCGTGACTGCAAGTACTTCTTTGCTCAGGCTGTCTTGCTCTTTTCTTTCATTTGAGCTCAGCCCTTGTTCATCTGGGCTGGTGTGCCCCTCCAGATGAAAGTAAACTATCATTTCAGATGGGATGTGGATATGGCCAGCCACTGTTTAATCCAGGAGGCCTTGATAAGGGCCACGGACCACACATGGTTCGCAAAGCCTTTGCATATGTGCCACAGAGACAGTTTTGCGGTTCTACCTGTATGACTGTAGAGGGACTACACAGTAGAGAAAATCTGTTCTCTGTCTCACCCACCTTGGGCAGCCCTCCAGGAGTTGTGAAGCTGTGTGTGACCTGCAGGGCAGACGTGTACAATGTGGTATGAGCATGCCTCAAATTACCCAGCCCATTTTATTACATACAGCTGCAGCCCAGTAACACACTGCCAGGCACAAGCAGTAGAAAGAATTTTCATCCACCTACTAACCCTGTGTCAGGTCCTATGTTACCTTCAAGCAAATCCAGAAGAGCAGTGTAAAGGGAGTTAGGACTTGCCTTCACAGAAATATGATCTGGAATAGCTACAACTTTTGTGGGATCTCTCATTCCAGAATGGGATCTATTCTGGAATAGCTCCTGCACTTTGAGTTCACACTACCATATGCCAGAGAAAGTTTTCCCTGTAGACATATCCTGACACTGATTTAGATAAGGTACAGACTGTGGGCCCTTCTCACTCGATCATTTGTTGTCAATTTTACAATTTAGCAGTACTTCTAACATCCATCCCCCTCAATGCCAAAATACAAAACTCAGCCCTGAGACTGAGTTTCACACACTCTGGGAATTATCAGATACATCAAGAGCTACATAAATCAATAAGAGACAGAAATGTGAGTGAGAGTAAGCGAGACCAGTCTGCAATGGTCAAGGCAAGGACTGTGAAAATCACCTTCCCTGCACTTTTTTTACCACCAGAATTGGAACCAACTCTGTATTATGGTAGTTTCATCCACTTTTTGGACACTTGCTAATAAATAAGAACTACTGAGGCTCAGGCTAGGCACTTACTAAGCAAAGGAAGGTTTCTCTCTGTCACTAGACCAAAACTTTTTCCCCAAGTTCATCTATTTAAGCAGTTTGGGAACGTAGATTTAGTGGCAGCACTGACAACACTGATGCTGTGGAAATCAATATCTGTCCTGACACTGACCTTACGGCTATGAAGGAATCTCTCCAAATACCGCTTGAAGAGAAAAAAGAGGAACGTGAAATATGCTAATTGGCCCTTCTCCTCGTCAAGCTGCTGACATTTCTGTGAAGGTTACAGCAGTTGAAAAGTATGTACTCTCCTCTAATTGGCCACTTTAAAAGGAGGAAAACATTTTGCCACATAATGACAAATATAGGCAGGAAAAATGGCAAAGGAGGATGTGCTGTGAACTCAGCACAAAGTGGCAGGATGTTCCAGCCAGCACCATGCATGAGTCCGTGATGAGCAGCAAAACTCCCTAGGGAGTCCTTGTACACAAGACTGGCCATGAAAAGAAGATTATAAAGGTTGCTAAATCAAACACTCAGCAATTCGGAAGTTTCCCAAAATACCTTTTCCTGGGCAACCCTCATATGCCTCCTTTATGTTATGCTTCATATGCTTCACTACGTTATGACGGTCATTAATTACGTGATGACACACTATTTTTTCCATGGGAAGCTTGTTCCATTCACTACACAGCCTGGATGCTGCTCAAGTGGTGAGCTGTTCGGCACAATTTCATTTTACCCATGGTCTTATTCATTGGTCCCTGCTGAAACTCTGGTCAAGGGACCACTGTTCATCTTCTAATGGGATTTTCTACAGATCCTATTGCTGTAGGGCCTCATCGACACTGAACGATGAATCCTTATAGCGCCCTGTTGTTATGCTGAGTATAATCACCTGCAATTTACAGGGATTAAAATAATCTCCACTAATTTCAGGTGATCGGTATAAAATACTAAGGCCTGATTGTGCAGGACGCTCAGCATCACGTAGCATCCTGGGCATCTCAAGTTTGGCATGTAGAAAGGGAAGACCCCGTCCTCAGTGCCTCCCCACCCCAGGGAAATCATTACTGACATAACTTTTGTGAGCTACAGAGAGACCCCCATGGCAGAGACCATGAGAGGAGCCCCAAGGCCAGCAATACAGATAGCCAGCTCTCCCCGTCTCACAACTCCCTGCCTTGTCTCTGCAATGCCCAAAGCTAGAACCTATGGGCAACAGCCCTCCTTGCTCCCGGGCCTGGCACAGCTGCACTCGCACCTGGCCAGGGCCAGCTAAAGGACTAGGAGCGAGCTGCAGAGGCAGCCCTCACCCTGGCAGCTACAAACTCTGGGCCACTCCTGTCTGCAGGTTCATTAGTGTCTCTGAAGGCAGTCTATGGGTGCATGTGCATTGTGGCATTCCCTTGGGTTTTCACAAGAGTAAAATATTAAAAAATTAATAATACCCCAAATCGCTGCAACTCCCTTTTCTCTTGTCCCAGACAGATTCTCCCTCCCCTCTGTTTCTGTTGGGTCCAGCTTCCTTTATGCTTTGGTCTGGTGGGAACACCTCACGAGGTTCACAGGGCTAGTGAGGTCAGGATCAGTGCTAAAGGCTGTGAGGGCACCAAGCATGTTCGATACAGCCAGGATTTTGCATGACCCTGGAGAAGCGCCCCTTGAGCACAAGCAACTTGTGCTCATTCAGAGGCTCATAAACTTGGCCAAATTTGGACAACTATTCACAGCAATGACAACAAGCACTTTTCTCAGACTGAGTTCATCTTTACTGCCAAAATCGCAAGTCACCGCTCCAAAAAAAGTTCAGGCTTTGAGCACATGAAAACAGATGGTGACACAGGAAGTCTAAAGACAAGATGAATGATGAGGTTGGCTGCAGATAAACACTGTAACATCAACAGACAGGAATGCATGCACATTAACGCTTGTGTTCCTTTCTCTCCCATCTACTGAGCTGGAGACACAATGGTTGTTTCAGTGGTCATTCAATCCTGTGAAAGAAGTTCCTTTTGGCACATGCAAAACTGTGTTCATGCATAACATTTTCTGTAACATAATGCACAACATTTCCAGGAGATTCGTGCTCTATATCTTTAAAAATGCAGTGAGCTGCTGCAGACACCTCCATGGAACGGGGGGAATTCAAAATCTGATCGAGTATTTATTTAATCTACTAAATCAAGTTCATCGCTGAAAAAGAGCACTTAGCATTGTGCTAGTATCTCTGATGACTGACACTGAATAATAAAAAAAAAATGCATGCCCTGTCTCCAGGGAGCTACTGAAACAAACCTCTTTTACTTCCTTCTGTACTGGTTTGTCATATCATCGCTCTTGGCTTGTCAAGTCACCAATTTCTTACTTCCAGAATGAGTGCATTTCAAAGCTGGAGAAAGTGCTCAAAAACAGCAGCTGAAGGAGGGATACGTTTTTAATAAACAAGGAAGAATTAGATTGGAGTTTGCTTTTCATCAGCTTCCCTCCATCCCTGCAAATACACTGACTTTATTTAATTTCATTTCATAAATGAAAGCAGGTTGCGAAGGTTCTGTGAAGAAAATGAGGAGGCAGAAGCAATAAATCATTTCAAAAGCCTACTCAAGTGCGGAACGCAGGTGCGATTGAAACATCAAGGAAGGAAACACAAAGGAACACTGTGCTTGTCAGGACCAGACAGAGACATTTTATAATCATCATCAGCAAGATGTGGCCATAGAGCAGGCGGCTTTGGACAAAAGCCAGAAGAGCCACTTGCAACTTATTTGCTCCCTGTGCTATTTCACACTGACTCTTCTATTATGTCCCACCAAGTAAAAGGCGATAATTGGCCCTGTAGGGCTTCAGTCTTCACTGTTGCAAACCCAGAAACCCAGCCCTTGCCATTTTCCCCTTGTCAGGATGGATCCAGTTCTGCTGCCTCTTGAAGTCAACCAATGTTCAATTGAGTTTTGCTCTGATTTCCTAAATGTCTTTAACCCTTCTTTGCCTTCCCTAGGGCAAACTGAAGTGTTAACCCCACTTTCTGCTTTGTGTGCAACTGCAAAGCCCCATCCATTACCACATAGATACTTTCCAAACTCCTTTTGGCTCCCCAAATTGCAGCCGGCTGGGAGAGAAGCCACAGGCAAGCACATAGCTGCCTCAGTACTATACCATGGCAGTCCATATATTGGACCATTAGACACAGAGCCCAGTGATCTGAAGTGATCAGAAAGCTGGACTTCAGTGGTCCCTTAAAATCCTGGATTCCCAAGGGACTCTGTGAGGACAGGCTCTGTGCCTCAGTGCTTCTTGTTGATGGGACCAGAGATCTGACAGCCACCCAAAGAGGAGCCTCGAGCACTGCATCAGGTGGCAGGAGACAATCCCTGCCCTTGAGGCTAGGGCTGAGGACACCTGCAGTGGCTAAGTAGGGGAAGCAGCTGAAACAAGCATCAAGAGACAGGCATGTTTAAATAAACCAGCACTAAAATAACTCTACAGTAAACCAGCATGCAGGGCTCAAGGAGTCATACACAAAGCACTTGGAAGTAGGTTAGGATTTGGGAGCAATGCTAGAGAGATAAGATGGCACGCAGAGCCTCCAGCTGATCAGCCATCCTGACATTACACACAGGATGGAAGAAAAAGTCAAACCAGGGAAGACCGAGGACTTTGGAGTTTCCATCGTGCAACCAGTGACTATGGACTTGCAGCGAATGGCTCAGCCATGCCTTTTAGGATTGAAGCATTGATGAAGCTGCTCTTCCACATCCCACCCAACACAACACAGAGCAAACACCTAGGCACGTACTGTTTGTCTTGAGCCTGGCAGGTTCGCTGTTCCGGCTGCCAGCTTGGTTTATGGCCTTGACAAGGAAAATGTAGCGGGTACCGCTCTGGAGCCCATGGACTGTGTAGTGGTTCTGTTTGATGTTGGGAACGATCATCCAGCTATCCATGGAGTTGTAGAGACCTGTGGTAAGGGGCGGGGGGAAGATTTATTAACAGATAAAAGACTTGGAGGAAAGGACAGAATACAAACAACACACAGCTACTAATGCAGAGCTCATAGATCATGCATCCTTCAGGCTGATTTACCACCTGCCTGAGAGTTAAGAGAACCTGTAGGAAAATTTACATGAATGATAAAACCCAGCAGCTCAAAGACGCTTTTTAATTATCACATGAAAGCAATGCGTGATAAGGCAAAGCCGGGGGCAGGGGGTGCTGGCATCTCAAGATGCTGCTGTGGGAAGTGATGGGGAAAGGGTGCAGCGAAACAGGAATTCAAATTGAGACCTTCTGGCCAGGGCTGGAAAGGAGATAGCACAGGGAGCAGACAGCACCCAGGAAAAGGTGAGAGAAGCTGAGCCCAGCGAAGCACTTATGAAGCCTCACTGAGTAGGCAAATGTGTCTCCAACTGCAATCCTCATCCTTTACTGCTGCTTTAAAGCACTGCTAATGAGGGACTGGGCAAGTTTTCCCATTAATCTCAGGAGAAGAGCACTGTAGGACCTGCCAGACACCAGGGGAGAGCTGTCACTGTCTGTAATGCTCTACAGGGAGACCTGTATCAGATGAAAGGTCTCTACCTCAACTGGCATCTGTAAACATCTCAAACCAGCTTTCCCCTGCCTATAGCAAGTCTCTCTGCCTGGGGGAGCAGTGTTGCTGTGGGAAGCTGCCCTTCACATGCTGCATTTTCTCCAGGCACAGGTGAGATGTTGAAAGAGCAGGCAGTCATCTCAGCTCCACAGGCTGTGGCGCTGGGAGCGCTCGCCCACTGACCTTCTGCTTGGAGCTGTGCAGGTGCACTGGTGAGGCAGCCTGCCAGGATATCCCCCTCCAGCCCGCTCTCATCTACCTCTTTTGGTGTTTCCCTCCTGCAGGACAACCTCCCTGCTGCTGTGTGGGCTGCAATATGCAATGCCAGCAGCAGGAGAGGGGCACATTGGCACCCTAATCCTGTTCACCACATCCTGCACGGCTCCCAGTGATCCTGGATCAGAAGCAATAATGAATGTCCATGTGACATTCATACTTTGTGTCCCTTAGCAGCCTGATCTGCAAAGTGCTTAAAAGAGAATTACAGCTCACAGTCAAGGCAGCTGGATCCCAACGCTCAGAAAACTTTCGGGAGCCTAAACTATTTTTGGAAACAGAAAGGAATTAAGAGCCCAAAGACCTTCAACACTCTAGGCCCTAATGCAGCAGAGGTTTGTACTGCTGGAGCTGCAGGATCCTGCACATATTGCAAACAGTTTGGTCTTGTGCGCCAAGGTGGGACCACACAGTGCTACTGGAAAAGAGAACAGCAATACACAATGCCACAGATGGTATTACTGCCATCGACATGGTTGGGGCAAGAGCAAACTGCGTAACTGCCTCAAGCAGCCCGCACTGGAGGACCAAGATGCCTGAAGGTTTTTGGAGCAACCTCTAGCACTGAGATCAATAGACCTGGGGGCAGCTGCAACCAATTACCATCTTCTGTGGTATACAAGGAACTCTGGCCACCAGAGCTGCTCTGGGTTCTGAGCTGCTCTGCTCTGGGCAGAGATGACAACATGGATCTGCTACTTTCAGCAAAAAGGAACGATGCAAGAATGTAAGAATAATATGGAAGCTCACACCTAGTAGCAGGAAGCTTCTTGGATCTGGTGCGATAAGGTCTGCAAGCAAAGAATGAAACAATATTTGGGGAATGGGCTGTGAATAAAGAGCATCTGGAAGAAGCTTTTTAGCCCAGTGTATTTGTGTACAAATAGATGTCAGAAGCCTAGAAAGCAGCTCCTGTGTTAAGGCTTGCACTGAGGAGAGCCCCCTGGGACATGAGGGCTCTCCAAAGAAAACTGCCTGTGGAGTTTATCTGGAGTCATATCAGAGATCTGGAGACAGGTGACTTGCTCAGGCAATGGCAGGAAGCTACCCATACACGTTCAAATACCACAGTGATTTTTAGCCTCAAAATGAGTGCAGTCTCTGCTGCTAGTGGTGGAAGATGGGATGGATGCAAAGGTGGGAGTAGGGCTGGAAACCTGTAGAATCTCCAGCAGCTTTTTGAGGATGCAGGAAGAAGATTGGAGCAGGTTACTGCAAGGCAGGGGCCGTGGGGACCTTCGCGGGAGCTTACAGCTGCTGACTTTTTGGTACCCTTTGGCAGCTGCATGCCACTTTGCGTGGGGCAGTTTGCATGCACGGGGCTGAAATTCATTCCTGGTGACCTTACTGCCCGGGTGAGTGCGTTCTGTCATCACATCAGAAGTGGGAAAGGAGCAGGAGGTCTGGCCAGCTCCTCCTGGGGTCTTGCTGTCAGGAAGAATTTCCTGAGATCCACCCTGCCGCTCCTCTGCTCTGTCGGAGCAGTGGGACCACAGGCCCATGAGGGGACTCTGGCTGGGTGTTTGTTTATCCCCAGTGGCTCACTCAGTCATAGGACAGGGTTAGTTGCAGTCCCTGTCTGCATAGATTTGGTTTGAAATATAGGTTGAAATAGCCCAGGAAATCAGGGCAATGTTATTTTATACAAAATAAAGCAGATATGATAGCAATCGCATTCTACATACACAGCTACTTTCCTTGGAGCATACGCCCTTCAAACAAGCACTGGTAGATGTTATCTCATTGCAGACAATGGCCAGCTTTGGCTCCTTCATAGGAAAGGACCAAGTGGCTGAGTGACAATAGCCTCAGAGTGATTTAGCCTCCAGAACAAGTTTCTTTCTAAAAACAATCAATAAGGGGTTGGCCTTGAAGACCCAGAACGTCTGTTCTTGCCAAAGCTTAAAAAAATTATTTTTTATTGTGGCTTTCGTCATCCATAAAAATGTCTGACTCCTGCCGTGCTCTTGGCTTTAAAGACAGCACAAGGGGATGGTTTCAACAGGCCAACTGTGTGCTCTTTGGAAAGGTATTTCCTTTAATGGGAAGCCTCCTTGTTGTGTTCTTGCTAGGTGAGCCCTAGCACATAGCCCATTTTCCCTGGAGCTGACCTGTTTTTATAGCTCTAATGTAAAACATTCCACTATTTTCAGTGTCTCTTCATGCATGAGTTCAGCCAGGACTCAAATGTTCTCATCATCCAATTCTGAATGTGTTATTCCAAGTGACAATATATTATTCATTCTTTCCTCTGAGATGTTAACTGCTGTGTTCTTTATTCTCTCTATGAAGAGCTAACAAAGATGGTCAAAGAAAACACTCCTGATGTTTGTCCCTTTTGGTTTTCTTTCAGAGCTGGCTCTCCACTTGCTGTTGTTGCTATTCATCACCAGCGTCTGCACACACCTCAGCCTATTAATGCTTGTGCCAAAGTCTATATCGATCCGCAAGGTGTGTAGGTGACTAATTCCCAACACCTTCAATGGTGTTACACACCTAAATCCCTCCAGAAGTCTTATCTTTTGGGTCATGGGAATGCTAGCAGCAGCACAGGTTGTGTTAGCAGGAGTGCAGCCAGCAGGCTGAGGGAAAGGGATTCCTCCCTTCGTCTCAGCATGGGAGAGACCACAGCTGGACATTGGGACCAGTCTGGGGATCCCCTGCCCCAGACGGACACGGACACACTGGAGCGAGCCCAGCTGAGGCCCCTGAGCTGGTTGGGGGCTGGAGCACAGGAGGAATGACGAGAGGCCAAGAGCACTGGGTGTGTTCAGCTTCAAGAAGAGAAGGCACAGGGGAATGTTACTGCTTCCTGCAACTGCCCAACGGGAGGGAAGAGAGAGGATGGAGCCAGAGGCTTGGCAAAGGAGCCTGGGGATGGGATGAGGGCAACGGCACAAGTTGCAATGAGGGAAATGCTGACTAGATAAGGAAAACATTCTTCTAGATGAGAGTGGTGAAACACTGGAATAAGGCCCAGGGAGGTGGGGGAATCTCCATCCTTGCAGATAGTCAATGCTCTGCTGAACAAAAAACCTAAGCAACCTGATCTCTCTCTGAACTCAGCCCTGCTCTGAGTAGGGGGTGGTCCAGAGACCTTCAGATATCCCTTCCCACCTAAATAACTCAGTGATATCAGCATAGTCCACGTTTCTTTCTGAACTACCAGATCCAGAGATGAAGGCTGATGACCATTTAAGAACATCATAGACAAAAAGGTAGCTGAGCTCTTCCATGCTCCAAGGGATGAAGGCAATGCTAAAGGCAACATTTTGTGGCTGGGGGAAGCCCAGAAGAGCTGAGTATGGGAAATCCTACATGTGGGAGGACTGGGTAATCACAATGAACCTCTGACCAAAAGGAAAAAAATCATCATAAGATCTTGTTTTTTTTAAAACAAGAGCAAAGGCTCCTAGAGAAGGTTGGGGATGCAAGTTATATCAGCTTTGAAAGTCTCAAGCAGAAGCTTTTTCTGGCAGCTTCCTGTATATTTTAAGGTGCATTTAACAATTTCCCTGTTCTGTGACACTGCATTTCCAGGAATATTTCTGCCAGCTGCTCTCAGCACTGTGCAGTGATGTTTTATTGATAATTAAGATAAACTAAAACAGCCCTCAAAAGCCTATTCTGAGGCATTTTGCTGGCATTTCCTACAACAGTAGGTGCTCCTAAACAGAATCAGGGCAAAAACTTTATTCCAAGAGCTATACTGTCAGGATGTTGCGCTTTTTTTGAAGTATAACTTCGGAACAGACAAGCTGGAAGGTACATTTTAGTTCTCCTATTAAAATTTCTATATTTTTTCTCATACTGAAACAGGCAGTTTCACTGGAGTCTCTCCGATAACCAAGCCAATGAACTTTCCTTCAGAACTGAAAACTCCTCAAATTTGGGGAAAAAGGCAGTGTTACAAAAACTGATAAAATGTATGTATTTCTCACACTCGGAGGGGTCACTGGGCACCCAAAGAAACAAACCACTGCTTCTGAGAGGGTAGATAGCCCTTAGCATTATGACTGAAATGCTCTTCCTATATTAACTGCACCTCTGTGGAAAGCCAAAGAACTCTTTTCTGTGATTACAATCAGGTCAGCTTTTTCTTTTTGAAATAAACTCTCACGACAGTGAAGAACGATAAAAAGTAAATGGATACTGCAGATGTGATCCCTCTGTCCTTGGCGGAAGTCACAATTTTGAGCCTTGGCTTTTTCAACCTGCAGTTTACCAGCTCTCCCTAGTGACAATCAATGGTGTTAAAAAGATCAGATCCTCAGTCTGTTTTGATCATTTTCAGTGGGGGGGGAGGGAGGAAATTAAATAGACATTTGGCATATTTGTGAAGTTTTAATCCCCAGGCAATTTATGGCTCGTTTTATCTTCAAACCTTCAGCTGATTCAGGATGTCTGCTGAATTCTGCCTAGCTAATATTAGAACAAAACTCCAGCCCTGATGTCAGATGCACAACTTTGAAACGGTAGATACAATTACTTTAAACATCAGAGCGGCTACACGCAGAGCCTGATCAGAACAGCAGACAGCTCAGATTTGCCTTGCCTGATGCTGTTTTGTACTGTCAGATTGTGTTTGGCCCAGGATAGCAAGTGCTGAGAGCAGCTGGCAGAAATATTCCTGGATCCTCTTTGCTATGGGGCAGATTCTTCTACTAAAGACCAAGATGAGGCTGATGAACAGCGGTAAAATGAGGCCCCCCCGACATGGCCTGTGATGCCCTTGGAGGAGGGCATCCATTTTGCATGGCTTGTCTGGACTTCAGCCTTCGCTAAGGCCTCCAAAGGGCAGGCTTGGTGTCCTCTGCCAACTGTGCCCGTGAAGGGCACGTGGCCTGGCAGCTCTGCTCTGCCTGCCAGCATGGTTGGGCTCAAGGACATGAGGCTGAGACTCCCGCAGGTTGTTTCTGAGAGAACTTCACAGTCTTTGGATCTGGACCAGATTTGTGCCAGTAGCCACGTGTCTCCCAGCACAAGCCTCTGCCCCGTGCTAAGGGCTGAGGACAATTCTTGCTGTTAAGCTCCTGATCCTTAGAACAGTGTCCCTAAGACAAAATGATACTCTCCCAGAGCAGTTCTACCTTCCTGTAATTCGCAATAAGCCACTCCCTGCACCCCCTTTTTTTGTTTTCTGTCTAGCCTTTTATTCTTTCTATTACCCATCCCGCTCAGACACCAGGATTAGGGAAGAGCGTGTCTCTCTAAAGTCATTATAATCACTAGCTTTCTTTCTCCTGCATGCTCTGTTTGAAGACACATCATGACTCCGGAGGGTGCCTTGCAAATAACCAACCATAAATTGTGGGAAAGTCTCCGGATTCGATTACCGCCTTCCCAAGACAGTGGAGCCAGTTGTTAAATGTACTGTTAAATTATTTGTCATACTAAAAAGCCCAGCTCTTGCTACAGTAACTAGTTAGTATCTGTGATAACATGTGCCCAGGCCCTGCAGAGGGCATCTCTGCTCAGTGTCAAAAGCACAAAAGCACATCAGCTGTGTTCAGGAAGAAATGCTTTGGGTGGGACAGATCCTCTGAGACTGAAAATGTCCTATTTGGATAGATGGTGATGCTAATTACTATACTCACCATATAACAAATATCCAGGATGGACTTTGCATCTAAGAGGTTGCTGTCTCGAATTCATGGCAGGCCTGTGGGATAGTTCAGCCCTACAAAGCTCTTTTAAAGCTGTCCTGTTACATAACATGGTATCACAGCATAGAGTGAACTGTGACAGGTCCCATAAAGCCCAGACTCTCCCAGAGAAGTTGGATGCTTGCAACCTCAGCAGGCAATTCCTCCTTATTTGACCACAGTACTTTCTAAATGATTAGGTACCAACACACATAAACATCAGTGAGAGCCTTCATCGTTCCTCTAATCCCCTTTGTGGCAAGCAAATTTGCACTGGTGTGGAAGAATAATTAAGCAAGACAGACATTTTCAGGAAGAATTACCCGGAGATTCTTCTTGATATTGTTATGGAGGGTAAATAAATCACACTTCATTTTTAGTCTGCAGCCTGCAGAGCAGCCAGTTCTGTTCTATTTGAATGACCCCAGGGAGCAATGTGAAGGGGTTGCAAGTCACACATATTTGGGTAGTTTCCTGAATGATCAACTATAAGACAGATGAGATCCTCTAATGTGCCAAATGCTTCCCTGAGATGATGATTCCTGGACACTGAATGCAGTGTAAAACAATTCAGTTATGGACCTCCAGCACAGGGTTAACAAACTGCGCTTCAGAGCACCTCTTGCCTCCTCCATCATCACAGTCTTGAGACGTGTCCTCAGAGGACCCTTCTCCTCTAAGTCCTGGCCAGGCCAGGCAGCTGTGCAAGGAACTGCAACGCCCTGTCTGTCTGCGAGGGAGGCATGCATGGGCAATGTGTCTCCCTAATGCTGAGGAAGACATCTGGGCCATCCAGTGCCTCATTCTGGCCCACAAGGCACCCAACTACTGGTCCTTAAGCAAAGGATACCAGCCCAGATGAATGGCCTTGAAGGAGGGAGGTGATCTCTGTAGAGACCTCACTTTAAAGACCTGTACTTCCCTATAGTGTGAAGCCCAGAGAAGGCATGGGTAGGCAGTTGGAGGAGAAGAACACGTTGCAGAGACCTCGTCAGGATAAATCCCTCAAAGTGAGCAGTGTGCCTGGGCAACAAGACCGGCCTCATACCCCGGGTTAGCAGAAGTGCGGCCAGCAGGCTGAGGGAAAGGGATTCCTCCCTTCGTCTCAGCATGTTGCTGCTTCATGCAAGCGCCTAACGGGAGGGTAGAGAGAGGATGGAGCCAGACCCTTCCCGGAGGTATCCGGGGACAGGACAAGGGGCAATGGCACAAGCTGCAATGAGGAAAATCCCACCAGATATACAGACAAGTTTTTCTCCCTTGAGAGTGGTGAAACACTGGAACCTGGAAGGTAGAGGGAGTAAGACCATGGTGGCTAATGCATCTCCCTGGCTGGCACCCCCCATCCTCTTGCCAGTGGGCCACTGCTGCTGCAGGAAGCGGCAACGAGAGCAGCCCTCAGCTGCTGGAATTGAAATACCGTCGCTTATTCACGTCTGATAAAGGACCTCTTTCTTCCCAAACTGGACTGTGATTTCCTATACAGAGCTAGTATGCAGTGACTTACTGATGAAGTTGGCTTGGCCAGTGAAGATGGTGTACTGGAGCTCATAGGAGCTGACACTGAACTCATCCTCTGAGATCCAGTGGACCGTAATCGTGTCATGGGAGGCAGTGCAAAGTTCCTCTCGAACAGACGGAGGGTTAGGTGCTGCAGGAGATCAGAGAGAACACAGTTTAGTAAGGTTTTTTATATACAGGGTTTTTTTTTTTTGTTTTGCTCCCATAATAATGGAGATAGGATCAGTGTGCCGGGAGCAGGACTCCCATGACAAAAACTTCCGTCTCATTTTATAAGACATTGACCTTCCTATTTAACTAAACTTTTTAGTTGGGCTAAGTGGCAAACGTCAAGGGGCAGTGTGTTTTCAAGAGTGCCAGAACAGGGGAGTTTGTTATTGCTATTGACACTGTGAGGTCTGACACCTCAAACCCAAAACAAATTGAGCAATCACTTAAAATCAAGCTACCTCTTGGCATTAATTTTGGAATAAATATTTTGTCCAATAAACGTTCTGGACAGAGCTGACATTTTTTCATTTATCATTCATTCTAAGCTTACCTGCAAAAAGATGAAAAAAATCAGATTTATGTAAGTAACGATGCCCTAGTTTCCTTGGAGCTTTTGTTCCTTCCTTTGATTTTACAGTAGACAGCATCATAAACAAGCAGGCTCCTATGACTGAGCTGGGTGGCAGTGCTGCTCCTACCAACACATCACCTCACTCCAGCCGGGTATATGAGCACAAGAACAGCCTTTCCTAGTCCTTACTGGTGTTTAGCCTATAACTATTATTCCTCACTATGGATATTATGGTAGCATCAAGAGACCCAGCTGCAATCTGTATGTCTATTTTGTCCCAGCAAGGTCTCTGCCCACAGGAGTTTATAGATCAACATAAAGATCCCCATAAAAAGGTGCAGCTAAGGAGAAACAGTAAAAGACACAATGCGTTAAAGGTAAAATAATTGGTTAATTCACCTTTCCCTTCCTAGATCTCACCACGCTATTTCTTTATGGGCATCAGCCTCCTCTGTCAGTCGCAGAGCCCACAATTGTTGACCTGCTTCCTTAACTTTTCCATCTTCTGGAAAAGCCATGGTGCCCCATGGCACACGGAGGGGAGTGGAGATGCAGTGCACCCTGAGGAGGGGAAGGTGTTTCTGCTCTGGAAGGACTGCCCTGGTGATGGCACAGCAGCCTCTGCTCTGGCAGAGAGCAGCTACGGCACCGTGCTGGGCAGAAATTTAACAGGTGAGAATGACTGGCAACCTAGTTTGCTTTAAAATACCCTTTCCAGCCCTCAGCAACATGCAGGGAAGGAAGGCTGTGGGAAAGAAGCACAGTACATGCGGTAGGGAGCGAGCCTGTGCACACACCTGTTAGATAATCCAGCCCCTCCAGCAGCTTCTTCTCTCTGGAAAAATCTAAAGCAAAGTTTTCAAAGGCATCATTAAAATTGATATCGGGTATCAGAACTTGAGAGGATGCAGTTGCCATGGCGACTCTGAAAGAAAAGAAGAGACCATCAATATACATCAGGGTGCACACCACTCACGACTCCTAGCAGCAGCAAGATGAGTGACTAAAAGGGTGCAAACTGCCTTGCAGTGACATAACACACCACAAGCAATCCGTGTTGCATAAGCTAAGCGGGGAGAGCTACATGGGAGAACCAGAGCGACAACTGCCCGGAAAAGGCGCTACAGGGCCAGTTTGTCTTGTTTACGTCGTGACAGAAGCATTCCCCTTTGTTTGGTGAAATACTCACAGGGATCACTCTTTAGGGTTATAAAAACCATGGGTTTGTCAGAGGCTGCCCAAATCGATGGGAGGCAGGAGCGCAGATCCATGAGGAGCTGTGGGGGAGAGGGCTGAACAGAGAGGATGTGAAGGGGGATCCGGCAGCAGCGACAGCTGCTTGAAGGGGAAGGGCGCAGGTGCAGAGCCAAATGCTTCCTGGTAGTGCCAGGTTTTAGTCTGAAGGGTGACGCCTCGAGCTGTGCTGCGGGGGTCAGGTAGGGCATTAGGAAAAGCTCCTTCCCCAGGAGGATGGCACGGTGCTGAGACAGGTCCCCGGACAGGTCGGGATGCTCCATCTTTGGGGGAGACCCAGCCCCGGCTGTCTTTGCTGATGTTGGCAACAGTCCTGCTGTGAGCAGGTAGTGGGGCTGGAGATCCCTGAGCTCTCTTCATGCCAGCATTTCTCTGACTTCTTCCTCCCAGGGACCAACATTTGTCCCCATGCACACTAGATGTTAACCTTCATTAGGCCCCCTGGTATCTCCCATTCCAGGCTATGGCTCGAGGAGATTCAGGCTGGATTTGTGATACAGACATCTTCGCTAACCTTTCCTGCTGCTGTGACATCATCAACTCAATGATGGTATGACTCTAACAGCCTCCAGCCACCTACATGTATTTTAAGTGTAACAAGAGTGCTCTGACCAGCTCTAGTTTGGGTGGCACAGGATCTTCTCAAGCCCTGTCTAGGGTCAGCTCCCCACTGAGGGGGCACATCTCAGATAGGGCATGGCGGCAGATCTGAATCACTAAGTGCTTCATGTGCAAGACCTCCCTTCACCCTTGCTCCGTGACTCACCCTACAGCAATTCATGGTTCTAAGTCAGGAGTTTCTCAGAGATCATCTGAGATCTGTTATTATTTAGCAGGTGAATCCTTCCTAGATCATTTAATGTTTCACTTGGCCCTGTATTCCAGCTGCTTTCCGTCAGCTCATTCTCACAGATGTTTCTTAAATTCTTGTTGTTTAGTCTTGTCTGCTGACTGCCACATCACGTGGTAGGCTATGCAGCTCTGCAGCAAACTGATACTTGGGGAAAGTGTGCTGTATATCATGAGTGACACAGAAAGGCAACAAGCACACTCCTTGGCCAGCAATGGCTGGGTGCAGCATGCAGGAAAGCTGTAACCATTTAGACATTGGAAAACAGGTGGGGATGATGGAGTACTCCCTGGGCAGACCAGTCTCCGAGGGAGTAGGGTGCTGTATTCAGAGGACAGCTTCCTAAGGGCTGGGCCAAGAAATGCTGTCAACAATATCCCAGACACCAACCAGAACCAAACTTATCAACTAGTGCTATGTTGTAAGCCTACCTCTCTGCCACATTCCTGGCTGTCTGCAGGAATCGTGCGTGGTCGTTCTCTTTCAGGATATGTTCTGCCTGATTTATGAGGACCGTTGAGCGCTCGAGACACTGCCGGCAGTTAGCAACCTGCTGGGCCAACTTCCTCAGCTTCATCACCTGAGAGAGGAGCAGAAGGAAATGAAAATACTCAGAAAATAGCACTCAGAGAAGATTTGCAAGGAACCCTAGGAGCTGGGCCCACTGATCAGCTAGCTCAAGCTGTCTTGTTTGGGGCTGGGGAGGACAGTAAGGCTGGCCTGCCTACTAAGCCAGCCCCAGGGCACATAACAGGCAGAGCTTGAAAAGCAAAGGAGAAACCCTCATCCTAGCTCAGGAGCTGTTCAGTGGAAGTGGGAAGCAGAGAAACTGCACGGAAATGTCTCCAGAGGCTCTAGAGAGGAAGGGAGAGCATCAACACACTTTCCATGTTAATTTTCGATCACAGATGGCAAAGTCCCAGGGAAAAGTCTCTGTGCTGCTCTAAAGGTCCCACATGTTATCAAAACAGAAAAACGATGCATCTTCTCTTCTCCTTACTCCTCTCACACAAACGCTCACAATCTTATTCCCACTGCACCCTCCTTTCCCTCAGCACATCTAGGCTGGCTCCTTGCAAATTTGGCCAGGAGAGGAGCACTCTTGCAAAGCTGTTCAGCACAGTAAAAAGAAACCTGACACTTGTTTGGCATTGCTCAGCAACAGCAGAGCTCAGACTTACTGCTGGAAAACATCACCTCTTCCACCACAAATAATTTTGCAGTTACAGCTGCAATAAAATGGGACAGGTGAGTTACCCACAACACAGGGAAGTAAGAGAGCGCTTCACTGCTGCTGAGCTGAAAAACCAGCCCAGGCACCAATGTGCAGCTAAAAATAGGGCATGTGGCATGAACAGGCTCTGCTCCGTTCCACACAAGTTTCATGTGAGTCCCACACAGCCTGGTGTTCGGGGCAGGGATACAGAGCTTTCCCTGCCATTGGCAGCCCCACTGCTCTTGCTGTGTCTAGTGGAAACTCAGATGTGGTCCAGCCAGCATTCAAAATGGGAGAGGTAGTGATGTCAGGGAAACCATGTCTGAATCTTCAGTTCTCACCCACCACGAGACTCCTTGCAAGATATTCATTGATGGCTCAAGACAGCCCTGAACAAGCCATAAAGCAATAAACACAGACAACACATTTGATGGCATCTCTCTCTCTTCTGCAAAATAATGGGACTCAGCAACAGTGAGGCAAGCAAAGAAATCAGAACAAATGTCATTTCTTAGGCTAAATCTCCACGTCTGTAGTCAGGGGAACACTGTGCTGAACAACTAGGGAAGAAGTTCAGAAGGATGCTTAGGTGAAAATCCCCTTAGAACATGACTCAGCTAGCTGCTAGTCCACCAAACTCCTAAATCTTCCAGGCAGCTAGGACAAAGATGAATGAAAGTCAAGTTTCTAGGTAAGTTTAAAGAGAAACTCTTATCCTTGCACTATACACACACACACCCCCCCCC